GAAGTGTCTGTCACATATATATATTCACACACACACACACACACACACACACACACACACACACGGTAGTTTTAGTTGTTAGCTTATTATAAGGAAGATGCTTATCATCTAGCCTGGACTGCTGAATGTAAGAATTTACTTGATTGAAGAGAAACTTGACCATGTGAAAAATTTTAAAACACTGGAGTAGATCTCATAGGAATAAAAAGATGAATGCAGTGCAGTTTCAGCTTGCAAGACTGCAAACTAAGACGGGGAAGGGATGTCAGGAATATGGAAGTATTGACAGGTGTTGAGAGAAAACACAAGAGAGTAAACACATCCAGCCTTTCTCAGCCCAGGCTCTGTGAGAAAATTAAACTCTGCAAACGTGGTTTGAATGACTGTTTTCTCAAGTTGCCCAAGGATGATATACCGTAATACCATTTTAGAGATTTCAAGAAGGAATATATTAGTAAGTTATTATATATAATAGATGCCTTTGGGCGTTAAGGCTTAATACCTCACAGAACCCATTGAGGAAAGCTAGTAGACTGAAATCACACTGGCTAGGTTAAATTCTCCCGTTCTGCTTCTCAAAAGCTGTGTAGCTAGATAAGTGACTTAGCCTTGCAGTGCCTCACTATAAAACGGAGTTGGTGGTAGGTAGAGCTATTGAATGGAGTGAATGGAGTTAACGTATGTAAAGCACTTAACACCGTGCATAAATGCAGTGCTGCAGGAAACAGTGACTTGTAAACATCAACAGCTAGCAGCAGCATCTTCATTATCGTCCTTACACAGAGCTCTGAGTCCTCTGAGGACAGGTATCGGGAGTGTTCAGAGTATGCAGAGAAAAAGCCTTGATTCTTGGGGGTGGAGAAAGACATCCTGGGAAGCTTGTAAAAGAGATTGAGACTAGAACTCATGCTCAAAGATTGTTTGAATACAGTTTCCATGGGCAGAGATTGGAAATGGGGAATTCTAGGCAGAAGAAAAAACTTGAGCAAAGACGAGGACAACTGGGAGTGTATTAGGGAATATTAAGCTGTTTCATTTAGCTGAAGCATAGGGAACATGTACGGAGTTAATAATGCTATTCAGGAAGAGGGAGACAAAGCATTGGTGGCTTTGAATGCCGAGCTAAAAAATGTGGGCTGAATTAAGTAGATAGGGGAGAGGCACAGGGCTTTGGTAAGTTGAGTGACATTTGTTTATTCATGGAGGGAGTATTAGTTGAGCAATCATGGTATTTGAGGCATCAAGACTGCAAAGACAAGACAGCATGACATGGTTTTAAGTGCATTGTTCGGAGCTGGGGCAACCTGAGGTCTAGGCTAGCCCATTAGTTGCCATTGTGTTTTCTGTTTTTTTAATTTTGTCTTTTCACAAAAGTGAAGCAAAGCCCGTCTTACAAAATTTGATGATTTAGTCCTGAGTGTAGCATATAATCTTAAAATCAAGGATGTCTTACTTCCAGAAAGAAAACTCATTTAGAAAGCAAGTACATGATCCAGAGGTAGGGGGTGTGTGTGCACGCATTGGTGGGTGTTGGAGTTATAGTGGATGCCAGCGTAAGGTTTGAGATTATAAGGGGGAGAGTATCGGAAGGGGGAGTCAGAATTTTAGGAGATTAGAAAAGAGAGGCTTATGAGGGGCAAGGCATATATCTTGGTAGGCATGAAAGATCCCAGTGGAGAGGTATAATTTATCCATCACAGTTTTGTAAGTAGGCAGAAAGGATTATAGTCCTAAACAGATTGTCTGGATTCCCTGTGGCAAGAAAAAAGATCATTTCTTCCTCAAAGACAAGAGGAAGAATGGGAGGGTGAAGGATGGTAGAATACAGTTTATGTCTGAAAACCTCAGTATTGCTTGTGAATCTAGGGGTCCAAGATACATCCTGAGAAAGATATGAGGGTGGTAGTGTCGGGTGATCTTGAGGAGAATGAAAATGCTTTGGAATAGAGGTGCGGGCAATTCAAAGTAGTCAATAAGGGACAAAGGAAACACTTTGGGACTTATGTCAGGGCATGACATGACTTTGTTGCATTTAGACAGTTATCTTGGCTCTTTAATTTCTCAAGCTATGGGTTTTGGTTATCTCTGTCTTTGTCAGGACTCCCAAAATGGTAAAGTTGGACGCCCCATCAGATAGGTAAGCAAAGGCAAATGTTTAATTCCTACCTCAAGATAATGTTATGGAAGCCAAGCAATAGATTAAATGGATCTCCTCTCTCCATTTGAGTTGTACAGTGAAGTAGTGTTTCACAAACTTAAGTAATATGCAAACCTTTTAAAAACAATTAGTAGATGACTTGGCTTTTATTAGTATAATGTTGCTGGATTATGTGCAATCACAAATGAAGTATAAACTCCTTGGTGCTTAGTAGCACTTAACACAGCTACAGAACCAAAACACTTTACATATTAATTACAGAAATCCACAATGCTAATGAAATTTAAATCAGTATTAACTTACTGTGATAGGATACATTTTTATATGAATGTGATTGCTGCTTGACACCTGACAAAGGTACTCACTGCCTAGCACAGGCTCAGCATCTGTACTGCCATATGCCGTGATGACTCATTCCTCCCATCCCTTTTCTCTGTGCAGATTACTGCAGGTGGGGTATCATTTTGCCATCTCTAGGCTTGAATATGTCATCATCACAATGTTTGACTTTCGGCCGGGCGCGGTGGCTCACGCCTGCAATCCTAGAACTCTGGGAGGCTGAGACGGGAGGACTGCTTGAGGTCAGGAGGTCAAGACCAGCCTGAGCAAGAGCGAGACCCCATCTCTACTATAAATAGAAAAATTAGCTGGGTACCGCGGTCCAGGAGTTTGAGGTTGCTGTGAGCTATGATGATGCAACTGCATTCTACCTGGGGTGACAGAGTGAGACTCTGCCTCCCCCCCCAAAAAAAGTTTGACTTTTCTTTATTTTTCATTACTATATATGGCAACATTTGATTATAAAATGTTTGCATTTCTTAAAGAATTCGTGAACACTTAAGAACACATCTTTGGCCTCCTGAGATTTATGTCCTTGTGTTTGATCTACACAATTCCCAGACCTTATGGTTGATTGCTTGACCACGATTAGTCATTTAGGGGCAGAGGACAGGCAAGGTGCAATGGCAGAATATCAAGATGTTGAAAGAATTTAGGGTGTTTGAAATAGTTTATCTTAGATCTAGAGATAACTAAGGAAGAGAGATGCAACTAGGGTGTGAACAGTCCCCTGTGAGGTGACTGGAGAAATAGTGTTTAGAAAGTTTTATGGCAATATGACACTGGTAAAACACTCAAGTGCATGATTTGTGGACTCCTCTTGTAGAACAGAGTACAGATGAGTCTGGATATTGCCAAACTATTATAACATGACCCTACCAGTCATGCACAGGGGGTCCACATATTGGTCCATAGCAGATTGGACGTGAAAACCTACCTGAGGACGAGCTGCACACGGTGGCCTCTGCTCATGCTGTCATGCCCCCAGCCCACATGATGCTCTCTCCTCACTCTAAGCAAGGTTAATCAACAGACCATTAATGGTAAAATTCTAATGCCAGAAAGTCCCACCATAGTTGCCATGCACACCCTCAAAGAAGGTGAAGCGGACCCGAGAGGGTGGTGCCCCATGTTATGGCCGGCCCGTCTGCTCCAGCATGAGAGACAGAAGCACAAGCTGCAAACCAAATGACCAAGCCGTTTGCCCTGTCGCAGTGTTTAGTGGTGCTGCAAGACCTAACTGCAAACTCGTTGATGCCTTCCTTCGAAATCTTACTACCCGAGAAATGTCAGAAAACTTTATCCTTCCTCATGAAACAGTAGTTTCCATAGGGGCTAATCTGTTACTCTGTTTACATCTGAAGTTCTGTATGTTCAATATATATTTTTGAAGTGACAAAACGAAGGACTTTTTCAATATATATTTAAAAAGTGATGATAATACAGGACTCTTAAGGCATGCTACCTGATTGCAGAGATAACACTCTTTAGTTGTCCTTTTTTGATAAAAAAAAACCATATTTTAAATTAACTGTTAAGATTTACCATAACCATTTAGTAATGACATAAAGATATGGTATTTTACAGTGGTGTTGTAATGTTACAAAGGAGAAAAATAAGGATCAAATATGTATTTTACTAAAAATGTGGTAGCCTTAGAGAAATATTTTAGGTGAAACCTAGACTGAGATTTTTTTGTTTTCCTCCTAAATGCATCCAATGTAATTGTCTGTATTGATTTTATAATACTGTGGCTCAGCCTGTGTGACCCTTATTCACGTCAGTGACTAGCTACTGAGGATCTGTTACCAAGTACTGAGATGTGGAAGATGAAAAAAAGGTCGTCTTCTCTCGATCTCCATGTCAAGAATGCTGCCAGAGAAGTATGCCTCAGTATTTAGCAGTCTCTGTGCATTTGTTACTAATTGCTTTATTCATTACTTTTGAATGTTTTTACGTTGATGGAACATTACCCAGTTGGTAATATTCTCAGTTTTTTTCTGAAGTACAGCATCATCCCAGCAGTAACCTTTTTTATTAGCAGTTTTGTAAGCATTTATTCACTCTGCCAAGTTTTTCTGTAAGTCTCTTGAGCTGCGTTTGTTTGTGTTCTAATTCCCCAAAGGCTTTCTTGGATTGTTCCAAGTCTCTAAGCCATACAGTTTTTCTCACACTTACTAAGTATCTGTGCTTGGGGTGGTGGGAAAATTGATTTGGTTTATGGTAGTCTGTTTCATACTAAAACAACTCTTTTGCCATTGTGTACACACGAACACTGTGGAAGCAGATTTATCATAGCAGAAGTGACTTTAATCACATATCATTTGAAGTTAAGTGCCACTCGTGACAGTAGAGCCAAATGACAGTGAAGACAATGTGGCACATGTAGTAAGGAACAAGGACGAACCCTACTGGAAAGCAATTCATGTGACAACTGTGGGCTTCTCTCACTGATAACGCAAGTCCCCGCCCTCCCTCCCTAATTCAATGGGAAAGACTGTGTGGGGCCGAGCAAGGCAGCTGGCTTGTAGGAGAGGGTGGGTGAGCCAGTGTAGGGTGAGGAGGCATCTGCACGGGTTTGGCTACAGCAGTGGCAGTGGTGGGGTGTACAGGGTGTCTCTGTCCATGAATAGAGTGGCAGAGACCATGGGAGACAAATTTCTCCCTGTAGGAGAAGGGGGTACAAATGTAGAAAAGAGAACCTGAGAATGAACCTATGGCACTGGATTTGGAGGCATTGGGGTGAACTCAGTATATATGTAAATATGTGAATAAATATGTAAATAAATGCAGATGCATATTCGCATCTCTTAATATGGAGAGATGGAAATCTGTGTGTATGGTGTGTGTGAACTCAGACACATTCCCCAGCTCTGTCTACAGAGGCCTGGAAACAGAGACACCCTATTAGCAGCGAGCACAAGATAAGCGTGAGACATTTTGTTCCAGAAAGTAAGAAAGTGCTCTAAGTGTCATGACAATAAGAAACTGTGGAAGTCCCTACTAGCCACATCTGGGATAATTTGGGCATCAGAATAACTAATGATAGTAACAAGTTATAACCCATGAGCCCATGCTGATATAAATAGGTAAAATAAACCCTCTAAAGAGAATTCTATTTCTTATAATAGGATGTGCCACTAATAAATGTAGAAGGAATGTGGGAATTTTCAAAATCACGATTTGGCAACCATCATAGTAAATAAATAATTCAGCCATGTACATCAATGGGTTAGTCTCAAAGTATCTCTCCCCAAAATAATTAGTACTATAAAAAAACTAGCTTGTAATCTTCAAGATTCAAGGAAAGAAGAGTGGAGAAAGACTGAGGGATTGTCTGAGTTGGAAGAAAACTAAAAAGACTTGGTAACTCAATACCATATGAGATCCTGGTTTGCATCCTTGCGCTGTAAAGAACATTGTTGGGACAATTGGTGGAACTTAAATGGAGTCTGTGGGTTAGATGGTAGTGACATGTCAGTGTTAATTTCTGGATGTTGATGTTCATACTGTGGTTCTATAGGAGAATAGCTTTGTTTGTGCGAATTCGGGTATTTAGGGTAAACGGTATCATGTTAGACCCTATTCACAGGTGATTTGGGAGGAAAATGCTGTGAATTTGAAAATATTTCAAAAAATTTTAATAGCAAAATAACTATTCTTTCAGGTACATTCACCACTAGAGAAATTATTTTCTTTGAAAACTGCAAAGACAAGACTTTTCATATAAACCTACAGCAGGACAATGTGTTTCCTTATTGGGACTTTTTGATACTTATCAGATATAAAAATAATAAGCAAATAGAGGCTCCTTAAAAGAGAACTTTTTAAAAACACGTTCAATACACACTGAATACACACACACACAGAGAGCCAGTAAAGAATTTCAAAGTGGCTGGTATATTTGTATATCTACTCAGGTTCCTACACTTGTGACCTAAAAACAATTGGGCATTTTTCAGGATTTAAAAGCCACCTCCTGAAAAAGACAATATTGGGGTTTATGTTTTTGTTGTTGTTGTTCCTCCCCAACCCCCCACTCTTAGTTTCCTGAAGTGAAATGATTGTTGTTCTTTTGCAAAGTCATTGAGAATGGAGCCACACTACCTGCTTTGGAATCCTGACTGTCACTTGGAAGATATGCCGTCTCTCAGACAGTATTTGATTTTTCTCAGCCTCTGTTTTCCCATCTGTAAATCAGGATAATAATGTTGAACTTGCAAGTTTGTCAACAGTAAATGAGATATATAAAAAGCATTTAGACTGTGGCACATAGTAAGCACCAAGTAAAGTTGGCTACTGTTGTTATTTTTCATGAAAAGTTAAAATGCTTTCATAAAATCATTTGAGGGTGATTATGTTGGCTCTCTTTTCTCTCATCAGGAGTAGAATTACTAGCAGGCTATAAAAGTTACGGCCTCTGCTGTTAAACCTGTCTTGAGATCAAACTAAAGCCTGGAGGTGGAGCATATTCTAGAAGTCAGGCAGTGCAAGGCCATAGAGAGACTTGAGCTTTGGTTAAATTCCAGACCTGCCACTTAACAAGCTTTGCCACTTTGGTCTTGATCTGTAAAATGTCTATGAGGAACAAATAATCATAGAATCCCAAGGATTGTTGGAGGTTAAATGAGATAAACTTGGCAAAACATCTAATTAAGTGAGTAGCCTAAAGAATGTCCTCAAAAAAAGTGATGATTATTTTTATTCTTTTAAGAGCACAGGAGTAGTTTATTTAAAAGAATACAGGCCTTCAGATCAGAGATAGTAGCAGAATGTTTGAGGGCATTTTCGAGAAATGTGATAAGCTCGTCACTGTTTGTTCCTGCAGAGGTTTGGACTGCCAAGGGTGGGCTTAAATTCCTTCAGGAGGAATCTCAGTTGACAGGAAACATGTGAGATGCTGGAGAAGGGTAGACAGCCGGCTTTCTAGAACAGTGTCGGTTTAGTGGGTATCAGTCTTGGACCCACGGACAAAGGACAGAGTGCTCCATCCAGTCCCATCTGTGTTTAAGTTATGAAAAGAACATTGATTTTTTTGGCAGTAAAAATGTAAGCCTTTCTTTATCCCACGGGCTGGTCACATCAGGTGCATAATTAAAATGTATCTATATATTTTGTTTTAAAGAAAAAAATGTGCTTCCTTTAGGGAAAATGTTATCTAAAATTAGTGGCTCTTAATCATTGTCTAGGACTTCTTTAGAACTCTGAGTATTAGCCAAAGAAGTTTTTCCTGATGCACTTTCTTCTGCTTCTATTCATTCACTCAATCACGCAACAAGTATTTATTGAGAACTCCTAATATTCCAGGTACTGTGCTAGATGTTGATTGTAAAAAAGTTAACAAAATGGATCCCTCATGGAACACGACTCACTGTCTACTGCTCTTGTAGCCTCTAGTGAGTTTTATGGGAGCTCGTTGCAAAGGAGCATTCTTTGAACCATTAAACAGATTATTTTGTCTACAGATATATATTTGGTGTATATGCAAAGGAGACAGGCTTGTCTCCACATTTGCCTGGAATTACCATACCTAGAGATTTCCTTCCAGCAGCGTCCCTTATATGTTGTAAACAGCAGGCTGTTTGGGCTTTGGTGACTTTGCAGCCTGTGGCTTGTAGGAGAGGTGCCCATCCCTGATAGCTGGTGTGAAATTAAACTTGGGCTGGTTGCTGGTTGACTCTATCATGAAATAGAAGCTCTCAGTGTCACTGTTTTTAATACAGGGGAGGAGATTTTTTCTTAAAAAAAATCATGGCGATGTTACGTCTCTCAGCCGACTAGTGGTACAAAGGAAAACTGCTGCTCAGGTCTGAACTGCCAAAGGAAGAAAGCTGCAATTACAGTACATTTCCCTATTACAAAGAGCACTGGCTTTTCCAGGAAGAGCCGTATGCAGCAAAAAGCACACCACAGAAGAACTTCGGTAGTGAGCGGGCTCTGTTTTCACCAGATCTGCTAGTAGCATGTTTATTCAGTGCGGTGCCTCTGCTGAGATAAGAGCCGCTTCCTTCGGATGCCCTAGACTGCCGTTTGTTTAGCTGGAGAACTTAATGAGTAATGGGTTTGCTTGTCTGGCCGATATAAAGTGTTTCCACAGCCTGTGTCTGTGTTTAGAGAGAGCAGAAGAGAGACTACAGGCAGCAGTTTGTCGTCTTAGGTATCAGCAAAGTCTTCTCTTTTAACAACTCGAGGATTTATTTTTAACTGCTTGACTCAGTGTTTGTCAGATGATTCGGACCATCAAACTGCAGATTGAAGTATCCAGTGCGGGGGAAGCTGGAATGGCAAGGGGAAGGGGGCTGGCTGGGAAAAGGGGTGGGATTTTAGAATCGTGCCTGTGTGGCTCTGCCTCCCGACGTGGGAGAGAGTTAAGGCTTCCAGCGGCATGAGTGTATTTGCAGGTCAAGCTGGGAACTAAAGGGTAATGGCTGCCTTCAGCTGCTTAAAGACATAATTGCCCGGTGATTGGGGTATTGTGGGGCGCAACCAAGGACCCAGGGACCCGTGTTCTGAGCACCGCTCTCTGCTGTTCTGCAAATTAAGCTTTTCTCCTGCTTGATGCTGCCTGTCTCCAGAAGCCTCTCACCATGATCGATAGCTCCAAGAAGCAGCAACAGGGCTTCCCAGAGATTTTAACTGCTGGGGATTTTGAACCATTAAAAGAAAAGGAATGCCTTGAGGGGAGCAACCAGAAAAGTCTCAAGGAAGGTCAGTCTGTCTGCGGACAGGGGCAAAACTGCCAAATTCATATTCCCATCAGCCAGGCTGAGCGTCTGTGTCTGCTTACCATGCGTGTGTCTGCTCTCTCTTCACTCATGTACCTTCCACGGGCTGAGTTCTTTGAAATGAAAGCTTAATGCTGTTCTCGGTAGCTGTCGCTAAAGATTCGTAGCTGGTAGAACTGTAGGGATTTTGCAGTAATTAATATGGTAAGGGCACTTATGAAGCCAGTCCTCATTTTGGTAAAATCTTTCCAGGTTCATGTTGTGTATTTTCTCCTGTTTTGGTTTTTGTTTGTTTGTTTGTTTGTTTTTTGCCCCCTATGCCTTTTGGAGAGGCCCTTTCCTTTTCAGTATTAGTCAGAACACTGCTGCTTTTGGGGTTTACAAACACATAATTCCAGGAAAATTCTTTTTTTTTTTTTTAGTTAAGATGATTATGTTATGTTTTATTTAAAACCAAAAAAGTAGCTAGCTTTCTTAATTAAATCCTAAAATAATGCATTGCATTGCATTATTTTTGTTTTAGAAAGCACATTGTATACCTTCGTTTTTTTTTAACAAAGCAAGCAAAAATAAGCTTGAGAATACTGTCAATTATTATTGCTAGTGACACTGTGCAGGTACCTCACTGATTGATCTAAGGAAACGGCCAAAGGTATGGATAATGCTGCCCTCCCTCTGTCCAGGCACACCAAAGCGAGGCTAACCCGGTGCATGGCTCGCTTTACTGTAGCAGCTGGAGATCAAGGTCTGTGGTTTAAGAAATTCAGGGTCTAGAGAAAATAAATTTTTCCTAAATTTGAGACATGAGGGTCACCCTTCCCAGTGCCTGTTTAATTTGAAAATTTGTTTTCTAGTCCTCTTTGGTAGGCAAAACCCCTGCAATATCCCTTTTTCCTTCTCCCTCCTTTGAGCTCCTGCTATCAGCCGCCCCCACACCTCCCCACTTGCTCTGGCTCATCTCACAGAGAACAGAGAGTGAGTGCAGAGTTAGTCAGCCTGAGCAGCACTTTGGGCTTCTTCCAAAGAGTTATTCCTCCTTTTATTTTTTTTTTCTCTCAGACATTTCGAATATGAGAATGTGATGATAGATTGTTACAGATTTAAAAGATAAGAAGAAGAAACAATAGTTGGGTTTGCTAGAGTTGAACTACTTTTGGGTATGGGTTGAAAAAAACTCCTGGATGGAAACAAATGACACACATATAAATAGCTGTTGCTGGGAACCGAACAATGGGGCTGCCTCTGCTTGTGCGCAGCTTGCCTCATTGCAGATTCTTACAAAAATCAATACCGGGGAAGTTTTTAGGACACATTTCTGGAAACTGATTGAGGGGAACTTCAATTTTTAAAATCATTAATTTTTTAAAAGTTTGAGAATTATCCACGCATCATTTAAATCAAATTCAAGTTTTAAGCTCCTGTTAATACCATAAATTTAAAACAATTTTTGTGTTACTTGGAAAGCTGGGAAAGTAGAAGAAAATGGAATAGGGGAAGTAAAAAGATGTCACAACAGCAGAATGTGATGGAGGAGCGTGGAAAGCAAGGGTTAAAAGATGAAAACAGGATAGGAGAATCATCAACAGGAACAGCAGAATAGAGCTGAGATGATTACATAATGTATAGGGTCTTTCCCTAACAACTCTGACTACGCATTCAGTTTACACAGGTGCAGTCGCCTCCTGTCAAAAGAGCACGGACCCTGGAGTGAGATATACATGGGTTCAAATCCCAGGTGTACTATTTACTACTTTTGTGACCCTGGATGGGTTCACTGCTCTGAGCCTTAATTTCCTCATTTGTACAATGAGGAGAAACAGTATTTATTTCCTAGTGTTTTTATGAGTTGCCTGGTTTAAATAGCCAGTTTCTCATACCTTTTCTTACTTGGTTTTTTTAATTCTTTGTTACTTTTTCCTTCTATTTAAAATTTAAAATCCTGTATGTATTTACAAAATAGAAGTATTGTCTATCTTGTCATGTAAATTCATAGGTATAAAGGAGTAGGGGAGAGAAATTTTATATTTCAAAACGATCCACAGAAATAACTGGATGAACAATCTCTCCCACCACAGTTGCATTGAGCTGGGTGTCGCTCTATATCTTAATAGACTATATATTGCTACTCATTTTCTTCAATAGGTAGGGCTGAGGGTAAAATAATATATATAAGGTATGAGAGTGATCTGCTACCTGAAAGTTAGTGAGACTGAAACAGAGTTCAATCTGGATTTAATTAGAATGGAAAAAAATAAGTTTTGTAGAAAGGAGTTGTAAGAAAATAACTTGGTTCCCTATGCAAAATTGAGCTCCTGAAATTCAGTGTGTCACAGTTCCTGCCTGCAGGTGAACAGCAGTGTTCGGCTTATCAGATTTACAGACTATAACGTTGGGACAAGCCCCCGTGAGCTTCGTCTGCTCTGACGTATTGAGCATACAGCAGTTGTACTGACCCATGGAAGTTGACTGAGATGGAAGCTGCTGTTCTGGTGCCTTTGATTGACTTATGGTCCCAGAGTCTGATTAGAACCTATGCTGTTTTGTCCAAAGAGACAAATGTATAAATGACTATTAATAATGCCTAATAGTTTATGCCTCATGTGTTAAGGGACACATATTAAAAATATCTATTATATATTTACATCCACAGTGTTTGGTTTTCTACTCATTTTTTACAAACTTGGTTTTTGTTTGTTTGAAAGGGCAACCTCTAGAAATTGTTTTTTTCTTTTTCTTTTTGAGACAGGGTCTCACTCTGTTGCCCAGTCTAGGGTGCAGTGGCATGGTCATAGCTCACAGCAACCTCAAACTCCTGGGCTCAGGTGACCCTCCTGCCTCAGCCTCCTGAATAGCTGGAACTACAGGTGTGCACCACCACGCTTGGCTCATTTTTTTATTTTTATTTTTTTTGTAGAAATGGGGTCTCACTATGTTGCTCAGGCTGGTTTCAAACTACTGACCTCAAGTTATGCTCCTGCCTTAGCGTCCCAAAGTGCTAGGATTACAGGCGTGAGCTACCGCACCCAGCCCAGAATGTTTTGTGTTTTTTTTTTAAGTCTGAATCAATGTTTCTAATTGATCATTAGAATCAATGTTTCTAATTGATCATTATCATTCCTTCTAATAAAGGAATGATAAATTTTGGTTCATTTAATCACATAGACATGAGCTTGGTCTTTCTGGCGTTTTTGACATATGTCTCCTGTCAGAGATCGGAAGACTGCTTCTCAAGTCATTGCTTTCTTGCTTGCTTATATTGGGATAGTTTAGAGTTCCTATAATTGTTGACAGTGCTGGTTGGCTGAAATTATTACTGGGGGAACAGACTCTGTAAGCAAATATCGTTAAGATTCAGGAATTATGTGAAACCTTAACGAGAAAATTTAGTAATACCTTTTGAAAATTTAAAAAAGGAAAATGTTCTAAGTGCTGACCACCTTTGAATTGTCATCACGCACTAGAGAACTGTTTGGATAATAAGGCATGTCACCTCACAGTTTGGTTAATGTTTATGTAAACTTTTTGATAAATACCAATGCATATAGTAGGAGAATTTAATTATTTTCTCCTGTAGGTGAGAACAGCAATAAATGTCATGAATTCCCCTGAACGAATTCAAAATAGAGAAGTCTCTTTAGACTAGTTTCTTTTGTCAAAGCAGCAATAGGGAACCTCAAATTTTAACTTGTCTACCAAAGGCTTTGAACATTTTCTAATTATGCTCAACATGCATGAGATTTAAATTAATTTCTGGATCTACAACTAAGAAGGATATTATAAGCCACTCTGACTTGACAACTGAAGAATTGATGATTATGAATTTCCAGGAAAATCAAATAAATTGAGATGATTTGATTCAGATAAGTGTTTTAATGAGTCATTATTGAGACAAATGAATCATAATACCAATGCTACTAGCTAGTTATATTCCATATTTAATGAAGGCAAAATGGTAGCAAGAGAATTTAAAGAGGAATAGTTGATGTTTGGCTCTCTGATGGTGAAAATAAGATACTACAGAAAAAAAACCGGTTGTGTATTAATTACTTTGACAAAAACTGCTCTAACAACCCTAAAATGCGATGTTTTAGCTAATCAAAGTATATTTCTTGCTCAGCACATACTCCAGTGTGGGTTGGATGGCATCCTAAGCAGCTGCCCTCAAGGAGGTGACTTGGGTATCTGAGCTCTTGTCATTGTATGGCTCGACCATGGGTGTCAGGAACAGGGAGGAGTTACAGATTTGGGGGCCACGTTCCCAATTCTGCCACAGACTGGTTAATAACAGCTGAGATGAAATAGATGACAGTGTGTCGTAGGTTGCCTGGCAAACAGTGGAGTGGATTAACATATTGTACTGGGACATATCTATAGTAGAATTTAAGGAGAGTAATCCAACTTGGGACTATAGATTAAATAAATAACTTTACCA